GATAATCAATTATTGAAAACTAGTAAGTCAATTTGAAGATAAAACCACAATACTATTCCCTCGACTGAAGGAAAGGTGATGTGAAAAAAAGTGAAACATGTTTGCCTGTATGTCTCTCGCGCATCAAAGATAAAAAAAACATCATCGCACATGGTCCTGAGAAATAGAGAGATGCGGATGATTCCAGATCTGAGCCCGGGTCTATATTTATAAAATGAACTTCAGATCCGATCTGCATTAGGTTACGAATCGAAATATATAACAAATAATCAACATGTTAATAATATCTGTTCATTACTCTTACATATTAGTACGTTTTAATCCAAAAACAAAAATAACCTTTCGTTATTATTCTTGTTCGTCGATGATTTCCTCATAACTAAATTGATCATCATCAAAAGTTCGAGTTTTTTTTTTCGTTATTAAGTAGGAAAACAATAATCCTTCTTCATCATCATCATTGTTGGTGACTTTTTTTCTTCTATTAAATATTTGTTTGTCATATGCAGTAACAGAACGAGAGAAAAATTACGACTGCACTTGTACTTCGAACTTTATGTGAATTAGATAAAGTTTTCACCTTTTTTCACATTGATTCATAGACATATGCATCATGTAAATTTGATAAAGTGACGTCTTATTTTATTTGTAGACCACTAAACTTGATCATTTTTGATAGACTAGAATTATACAAAAATGTTCATTGTTAAAAGCTTCGAAATGAATCTTATCAATTTTATACCTAAGATATTGTATTTGATGTTATTTTTTTGTTTAAGATTTCATTTTATTAATATGGCTGAAGCAACTACTAATAAAACAAATAATGATATTTATATTCCTTCTGTGATGAAAGCTGCTCAACAAAGTGGTTTTGGAGAAGTACGTGATGTTTTGACGCTCGATGAGAATGTCTATGTGCCTCGTCAATTATCATCTAAACAAATTCTTGTTCGAGTTTATGCCGCTGCAATAAATCCAGTCGATTGGAAAGTATTAAATGGAAGATTATC